CTAACTAAGACACCAGTAAATGCCTGCTTTGAAAGCTTTGCCTCAGGATCTGGTTTCCAAGGAATGCAAGCAAAATTGTATCTGTACACATTATCTTTTTGTTTTAATTTGTGCATATTATTATTTTTTTAAAATGGCTACTGAAGTTAGGACACAAATGCCTGTTAAACTGTTGTCACCCAGTTACTTAATAACACATGGTTAGGTTCTTCATAAATGTTGCCTTAGAGGTGTCAGGAGAAATACTCACTAAGACGCCTTGGTGGAGTGAACTGTGAAGGTCTGTGGCTTTCTCCTACAGAGGTCTAGCCAGGGTACCATCCAGGGTGTGATTGGCTCAGCCTGGGTGAGGGACAAGTGGTTGGGGTGCTGAGCAGAAGACAAGCACTCTTAGGGAGACCTGCATGGCCTCAGAGACTTCGTGAAGACTTCGGGCATCAATTTGTGGAATATGATACAGACAGCTCCAGAAAAATCTTCCCTCCCCACTTCCCACCCACCATCTCCTTCCCTCTCCCCCCTTCCCCTCTCTCCTCACCTCTCACTCCTCACTCTTGCCTGCCTCAAGTATTTAGTTATAGTAAATAAACTATATTTACTCCTTTCTCATTCTTTCCTTCTGTCTCTCACATACAAATTTTAAAAGCGTTATTACTCTTTTTGATCTATAAATAACTGAGATCTTCAATATAGGCATGCTTGTGCAACTGCTTTTTACAAAACATGATCCTGTGTTATTACATGAAAATGCCTGCATACTTAGTTCAGGAATAATAGTTCAGCTGCATTGTCATCTGCCTTGCAGTTTTATAGGCTCATAAGTTTCTAGTTCCAGCACCTTCTCAACTGACTTAGAACGTAGTACACACACTTAACATTTTTTCTTTTTGAAAAACCCACCCTCCCATGCCCCTTTTAAACGCAAGCCTGGGGCCAGTGAGATGGATCCAGAGATTGCTGCCAAGACTGAGCTTGATTCTTGGAACCCACAAGGTGGAAGGAGAGAATGGATTCCCCTTGTGGTATACATGAGCACACACACACACACACACACACACACACACACACACACACACACACACACACATACAGAGTAAATAAGTAAATGTAAAATAATGTAAAAGCAAGCTTTAAATTAGGAGGACCAAGTTCCATAAGATTTTGATGTTAGTTGCTTCAGTTGAAGGGCAATAATAATAGGAAGGTAAGTTATGGGTCTTCTGCCATGGGGTGGGATCTGAGGATAGACTTAAAGTTCATCTGGGGTCCAGAAACCTGTGTTTCCATGGACCAAGTGATGTTCATGTTCTGTGTGAAACTGTGTCACTCAGAATCATACATGTTTTCAAACAGAGTGTCCTTTTCTATGATCGCAATGCTTCTGGTCCATTTTGAGGAATTCCAAGTCTCAGTAAATAAGAAGGAAAAAAGGAAACTGAATGAAAAATTCCAAATTTGTTTAGTATAAGATCAGGGAAAGTAAGTGGTCTAAAATGACCACTGATCTTTCCAGTAACTTCTCAGAAGTTCCTCCCACAGAGGAATTCGTTTTTCTTATGCTTTGGTTATCTGTGCCTCCCAGATGTCTCTCTGTCTTAATTTAGTGTACATATGCACAGACCAAGATTTTAAAACTAATTTTCTTTTGTTTAGAATCCCACAGAAGCACTCTTTAAATATGCAAATATGAGCCCTGATAGGTTGGGCAGGCTTTTCTATTAGCTTGGGAGACAGAATGTCGCCTGTTAGTTCATATTGATTGAATTATGCAAAATCTCAAGAATCTAGCTAGGTTTGCTCAACTTTGCTTGAGCTCCACTGCTTTGCTTTATAGCTTTCTTTTTTTCTGAATGTATGCTCACTTAGATAGCTCTCAATAATCTCTTTCCAAGCATGATGTGTGTGTTGTGTGTATGTGTATGTAGATCATATGTATGTTGTGTGTATGTGTATGTAGATCATATGTATGCTGTGTGTATGTAGATCATATGTATGTAGATCCCAGTTTTTCTATTATGGTAGCATGTTGAACATTTTACTTGACCCTTTTTTTTTCTCTTTTAGTTGACACTATTATTGTTGAGGTCATTTTATAATAATATAATTTCCCTGATTTGTCCAAATGGCTCAAGAGAATTTCATTCCTCATAGGTAATTAGTCATATATTAATGTTAATGTAGAATTACTACATTATTTCCACTCTTAAGTATTATGAGAATCCCTACTGGAAAAACCAGAGGGAACATTTCTAGAAGTGGATTGTTGGCTTAGGAAGTACTTTTTTGTTTCTCTTGTTGTTTTTGTTTTTTGGAGAAATGGTCTTGCTGTGTAAGTCTGGCTGCCAGGTATCTGCTACATAAACCAGACTAACCCATAACTTTCAGATGTTCTCCTGCCTTTCTATAGTATAATATCACAGGTGTGATTCACCACACCCAGATCAGGTAATACATTTCATATGTTGATAGATGTTGGTAAATTTCCTCAATTTACTTAACCACCATATTCACCAACAGCATTTATCAGCAAATCATTCTAGCAAGTGGCATTTTATAGTTCAAACTTGTGTTTCTTTCACAGAAAGTCAATTTGAGTGTATTTTGTATGTTCAAAACCAAATGTACTTGTTTTTCGAGAATCAATGACAGCATTGGATATGTGTGCCTATCACATACCGTATGATCTGTTTATAAATACGGATACAATACAGCCTCAACACACACTCGGGAGAGACTGACAAGAAACAGTTACCGTGCTCCAAGCTTAGCAAGATGGGAGCCTGTTGATGTACACTCAGCACATTCCAGAAGGTCATCAATAGAGGCTTCTGGGTGAGACAGACATTTACACTGAGATCTGATGGAGGTGAAGGAGACAACACGGCGGATATTGGAGACAGAAAAGGAGACAGCAGGCTGTGGTGTGCAAGGGTGAGAGTGGGAAGAGCAGGAAGTAGATGCAACTTGCACATAAGGCAGCTCTGGGTGAAACTGGCGTGAAGGGGAAGTGGGCAAGTCCTCCGCCATGCACTCATGTGGCCTTGGAAGATTGGCTACATACCCCAAGAACAATGTGACCTTTACCCCAAGAATATTTAAAAGTAGGAGGGTGACATGGCAGAAATGGTTTGGGGACGATATGGCTACTGAGGAAGGTGGTCTAGGAATTTCGGGTGGTTGATATTCAATATAGATGTTTGTGGATCTCGCCATAAAAGTGGTTAAAGGTCTCTTCTGAAGAGGGGGTATGCTATTCTGGGGAGGCATGAAGACCAGCCACCACCAAGTAGCCTGCATGTGAAGAAAGTTACTCAAAAGGTGCTAGGGAAATACAGGGGTGTGTGTGTGTGTGTGTGTGTGTGTGTGTGTGTGTGTGTGTGTGTGTGTGTGTGTGTGTGTGTGTGTAGGGCTAATTCCCAACAGGTATTCTTTCTTCATTTCTTCCTGGAAATGTCCCTACCTATGTCTTATATAATGTAAGTGTGAGAGGAATTGCTGACTGTGAGAGCAGACTTGAGATACCTTTGCTCAAGCTCCTAATTTTAGTCGTGGCAAAAGAAAGGCAGAGAAATCTAAGGATTTGTTTCTGCTCAGGCAAAGTCAGACGGCGGCGATGCTCTCCCGTCCGTCTTTACCAGCACGTACATCTACATATGTAGTTTGGGTACACACACCTACTGTTGAGTAGAGATTTTTCTTGCGTTTGCTGACAGCAGAAATTTCTTGGGTAAAAAACCTCTAATTTAGAAAATGATCTGTCTTAAACACTTTGCAGCCCATCGTTCAAATTGCACAGACTTCAATAATCTTAGAATCAAAAAACAGAGAGAGAGAGAGAGAGAGAGAGAGAGAGAGAGAGAGAGGGAGAGAGAGAGAGAGACGAGAGGGGGCGGGGGAGAGAGAAAAGCAAGAGCAGTCAGCAGTCGTTAAATTCCTACAGCACAGTTGGTTTCAGCCTTGGCTTCTGAACTGGTCGAAACCCCTTCCTGGGCGAACCCCTCCTCTCCTCCTCTTGCTAACCCATAGCAAGGCGAACCCACAGCAAGAGGCATCTCAGGTCCTCACTTCTGCCTCAGGGATGCTCTCAGCCTTCTGCTTCACCGAGGATCCCGTGATCCGATTCAATCTAATTAACAGCTGTTTAGGGAGCATCTCAGCTTTGGGAAGGCATCAAGCTAAGATCTGGGCGAGGGCGTTCATGGATGAAGATGTCCCAACCCTCTTCTTGAAAAGGAGCAGCTGGCGCTTAAATCTAACCCCCTCTATAATTCACATGGTTAACGAATTCCCCCGGAGGTTCCTACCAATAAGGCTCCAGATACATTCCCCCCGAAGGTCCCCCACGTCTGGACGTTATTGCCTGGAGCCAGCTTTGATGCTGCAAGGAGGTGACGGAGAAAATGTTGCCTCGGGAATGTGGCATCAGTGGACTGGGACCAAGCCGTGCCCAGCAGCTCACCAGCCACTGCCAGGGCAGAGTAGCTCCTGGGTCCGGGTCGCTTCCCTTGTGCGCTAACCAGGGTGCGGTAGGCTTGCCTCCAAGTTTCCCAGGACACTCTCCTTTCCTAATGGCCAGTGTTCGTCCCCAGCGTCCCAAGCCCCACTGTTCCTCATCCTTTCCCTTCTCTGCTCCACTGCGTTCCACTGCCTGCAGGCAGAGTTCAAGTTCAGCCCCGGCTTTTGCTCTGGATTTAGAAAAAGGAGAAGGGGGTGGGAGAATTGGAGGGAGCCGGCTAGTC